TGGTCTTCTGTACAACACATTCTTGCATACAGTCTTCAGCCATACAAAACATAAGAAACACCACAGTAGAGCAGCAGAAGATGTACCTTAACTTGTGGGGTCCTTGGATGAACAGTGCCTTCTGTCTGGGAGCCAGCAGCTTTTATAGCTCCAGTAAATCATAGTTAATCATATTTCTAATCAGACTTCTTTATGTCGATCACTCCCAACGTAAAGAAGTGACCTGACAAGAAAAGTACAATCACTGTGTTGGCTGAACCTTGATGCTTTACAGTCATCACAAGAAAAAAAACACCACGTCCACCTTGTTTCTGTGAGTGTGAGCTGGAAACAGAGAGGTTATCTATGAATTACTGAGTGACCTGAATCTTCCCTTTAATTTTAATTCAGTGCACATAAGTTGAGTGGTAGAATATAACTAAGCACATTTGCTCAAGTACTTTTGAGGTACTTCTACTTTACTTGAGTATTTAAACTGCTTTATACTTTTACTGCACCACATTTCAATAATATCAGTCCAGTAATACTGTATGTTATAGCACTGATGGCAGTGAGTATTTGAATAATTTAATTGAGTCCTGATCCTGAATACATCTTCACTGTCTTAAAGTAAATAAATATTTATTGTCTTCAATATGCCTCACTCATAGGTCAAAGTTCATTGTTAACTTCACTATATTTTGGAATTGTAAAGATCACTTCAGTGATGGGGTGCATCCAGACTTCTCTGAATCCAGACTACTAGGTGCCAGCCTACATCACGCCCTTGGGATATCATATCCAAACAAGAACACATGGATAAGGCCAAAGGACAGTGCATACACACCAGTTGCCTGCATCTCTCTCTCTCTCAGTTTGACATCACTGTTTTAATCTAATTTACATTCTAACTTTTTGTCTAGACAGCACAGCAGAACAGTGGTTATTGCTGTCGCTTCACAGCAAGACAGTTCTAGGTTTCAATCCCAGGCTAACCTGGGGCCTTTCTGTGTGGAGTTTGTGTTCTCCCTGTGCCCGCGTGGGTTCTCTCCAGGTACTTGGGTTTCCTCATAAAGACATACAGCTTAGGTTAATTGGTGACTCTAAATTCCCTGTGAGTGTAGTTGTTTATCTTTAAGTGTCAGCCTGGTGACCTGTCCAGGGTGGACCCTACCTCTCGCCCAGTGGCAGCTGGGATTGGCTCCAGCCTCCCCTTGATCCTTGTTAGGATAAGCGGTATAGATAATGGATGGATGTTTTATCTATTTGAATGTTTTATCTGTTTGTGTGCATTGGGTTAAGCACTTTGAATTCTCTTTTTGTATGAAAATGTGCTAAATAAACCAATTTGCTTTGCTTATTATACAGATTATACATTTTATTATACAGATTGCAGATTATACAGACTCGTACAGTTCTCTAGTACTCTGTTTTAAGTACTCTATTTTTATCCCTAATTACTCATTTCAATGAACATTCCTTTGTAGTCTGCATTGTTACTGTCTGTTCATACTGCTTATTCTGCATTGTTTGCACTTTCTGTTGCTTGTAAATACTGCTTATTTTTGTTATATTACACGGCCTTATGCTGGTTTACTGTTTGCACATTGAGAGCCGATGTACCAGAGTCAAATTCCTCATGTGTCCAACACACTTGGCCAATAAAGCAGATTCTGATTCAGATTCAGATTTTTATTTTATTTTTATTGTGTTAGTTTTCTGTAATTACTTAAGCAAAGTCCTTTGTGTGTATATTACCACTTTCATTAAGTAAAAGATTTTAATACTTCCTCCATCTTTTCACAGATATAAAACACTAACTGATTAAAAGATACACCAGACAAAAAAGGTGTCACACTGAGGTGCAAAACAACAATGAAAGTGTAGGATACGTAAACACAGCAACAGCTTAAAGATTTCAAACAGTTTCTGTTTCCATGCTATACTGTGCATTAATTTCCACACTGTAAAAAACCCACATTTTGGATTGCAAGTTCTCCATTGTATGAGCTCCTGGTCTATTGGGTCCTCGTTTTGTGGTTAGTTCCTTCATTGTTTGCCTATAACAAAGGGTCTGTTGATGAGATAGATTTAATCATTTCCTCTGACAAAGCCTTAGGTCGCATTATTTGGCCATGCAACAAACTCTGAAAACTTCAGAGAATTGCAGTAGGAATTATGATGGCTCCCATATGCAATGCGGCCTTATGTCTGTTATTTCATTTTTTAAAGCTATCACATTTGTACAACTTATTAAAACTCTTTAAACTGTTTTTCTTTGTGTTTAAGCATTTTCTTTGTGTTCTCTTCTTCTTTATTGCATTGTTTCCATATCCTTAGTAGACTTTATGTACAACTGTCTTTGGCTTTGTAAAGTTTCTTTCAACAAATGTTGTGGTAACTTTTCAGATTTCCACATGAACATATTTGGAGATATCAAAATAATTCCATCTTTTACTTGGCATTACCAGTGCATCTAATCTATTTGTTTCACTATTAGTCTCCTTTCTCATTTGAGCCAGCTTTATCAGATGATGATAAATGGCAGAGCCTGATAGAGGTCTTAGCAAATGGAACAAGACCGTGGAGTGCCCTCTGGTGGTCCTGTGAATTATTTTAATAAAATGTGTTACAGTTCAGGTGGAACCAGGCGAGTATGTGGGTAGGTCAGGAATATGCTACACAAAGGTACTGGTAACATCATGACCCAAACTTCACTTGTCATCCCATTTCCTGAATTGCACAAAGATATAAACAAATTCACAGTCTGACTTCAAAGCTAAATAATCACCCTAAACAAGGCCAAAATAAAACAAAAATGTGCTTTTGCATGGAGTTTAGCTGATTTGCAGAGGTAGTCAGCTTGATTGTTGACTGTGTTGTTAGGGTATAATAAACTAAAGTACTGACATTTTTGAAATCTGAAACTATTTTCAGTCTGCAATCAATAACAGAAACAATAATACAATTAACTTAAAAAGGGGATAAAAGGCATTTATTCAAATACCATAGTTGAAATCAAACACAACCTAAAGTTTTCTGCAGCCCAGAAAGAAGCTACAGGTCTTCCATAAACACATCCCTTCATTTGATTTGATTTGATAAATGATATATTTAGTGGAGTAGATAGCTCTATTATCATGTCTTTATTTGCAGATGATGGGGCCATGTGGAAAAGAGGTAGGAATTTGGATTTTATTATTAAGAAAGTGCAAGAAGCGATAGGGAAGGTAGAAGAATGGGCACTAGATTGGGGATTTAGACTTTCTGTGTCTAAGATGAAGGTCATTTGTTTTACAAAAAGGAATTCAGAAGTTCCAGTTAATCATAAATTGTATGGGGAAAAACTGGACAGAGGAGATTGTTTTAGATATTTGGAGATGTGGTTTGACAAGAAACTTACTTGGGCAATACATATAGGGAAAATAGTTGAAAGATGCAAGAAAGTGGTAAACATTATTAGATGTTTGAGGGGTAGAGAGTAGGGAGCCAGTGGAACTGTGTTAAAAATTATTTATATTGGCTTAATCAGATCAATTTTTGATTATGGTACCGTAGTTTATGAATCAGTGTGTAAGACCTTGTTGAACAGACTGGACATCATACAGTATCAAGTTTTAAGCCTGTGCTGTGGAGTCATGAAGACAACACCAGTTTCAGCCCTACAGGTGGAAATGGGCGAATTACCTCTGGCCTTACCAAGAACATAATTGGCACTAACTTATTGGGCAAACTTAAAAGGGCACAAAGGGGGTCATCCCACCAAAAGACTACTGGAAAGTTGTCAAGAAAAAGAGAAAGGTCAGCAGAGGAGTTTTGGCTGGATGATAGAAGGTAAGATTAGTGAAGCAGGCTTGGAGGACAAACAGATACAGTAAGTCCTACTGTTCCATTATCTGTGATCCTACCTTGGATGTTTGCGGAAGTAAATATAGATGTGAGCTTTTTAGAAATAGAGAAGAAGGACAATGTGACAATGTGAAATAATTGGATATATAGATAAACATTATGCAGGATTTCTTATTAAAAAATATACAGATGCATCTAAAATAGTAATTGGTAAAATTGGTCTGGCATTCATTATACCGGAATTAAATGTGAAATCAAATAAATGGATCATTGCTAATCTTTCAGTATACACAAGGGGAATTACTAGCAATGGAACTAGTATTAGAATGGGTAGAAGAACATAAACCACTGAAAGTCCTCATTGGATCACGTTCCAGCAGTTCTTTAGTGAGTATTCAAAATATGCAGTCAGACTCAAGACAAGACATAATACTGGAAATAGCTTGTATACTATTCAGATGTCAGAGGGCTGGAATAGATATTACGTTAGTTTGGATACCAGCACATATTAGGGTGGAGGGAAATTAATTAGCAGATGAATCTGCAAAAGCTGTGCTAAAAAAAAAGAAATGTTTGTGTGGAAGTAAGCTATAGTAAGGCTGAGGTTAAGAGTTTGATTAAAAGGAAACTGAAACAGAAATGGCAAGAACTGTGGGATAAAGATGGCAAGGGTCGGTTCTATTATAACATTCAAAGGAAAGTAGGAGAAATGAGAGGAAGTACTGGAAATAGGAAGGATGAAGATATGGTATCAAGATTGCGATTTGAGCATACTGGTTTAAATACTATATTAAAGTTAATCAAGAAACACGCTACAGGGGAATGTGAGATGTGTAGGGTACAAAAAACAGTGGAACAAGTTTTAATGAGCTGTCCTGGGTTCAGGCGGGAGAGGGAATTATTTAAAAATACAGTTTTAAGAGGTGGAATGAACTTTAGTTTACCGGAGGTGTTGGGACAAAGGTCAGGGGATATAGGATACAGAGCACTTATTAGGTTTTTAGAGAGCACAGGGTTACACAAGATAATATAAGGTGAACTGAGTGGGGTTATTTTGGTGTGGTGGTAGGTAGGGGCCGTTCTGATCCACACTCCAGTCTGAAAGGTGGTGGTAATGCACCTAAAGCTGATTGCCAACCGCCATAAAAAAAAAAAAAAAAAAAACAGCTGAAGAAGAAGAAGAGGAAGCAGCAGCAGCTCTGTCGCATACATAGAGAGACATCATGGCGGACGTTTTGGACCTTCATGAAGCGGGAGGCGAGGACTTTCCTATGGATGAGGATGGCGATGGTAATAATAGTATTTAGACCCATGAGTGGCAGATGCTAGTAACCTTTGTGTTCATGCCATGTGTAAATATTGAGGTCTGATCAACATGGTCGTGGCTTAAAACGCAACAAAGTCAGGCTGCGTGATAGCAGGCCAGAGAAATGCTAACAAGCTAATACGAAGCTAACAACGCACTTGTGGTTCATTCAAATGCTCCGTTTTTGCAGGCTAGGTCGTGAGTCTTAGAAACTCTGAAGGTTACTTTTATAAAACATTTCCACTTTCAGCTTTGTGAAAAGTTTCTTAAATGCCCGTTTTAGCTTAACATCTAAGAAAGCTAACTCCAGACTTGGCGTGTTATTAGACGCCGCTAGCATCCTAATTTAGCCCTTAAACAATCACCGAGAGAGCCACAAAGGGCTCAAACATACCTGTTTCAACACACATTCTCGGTTTTATGTGTCAGTAGCGTTACACAGGGCAGGAAATTAATCCGATGATTTTAAATTGGCTACAAACAGGCAAACGTTTGCTGGTTATTTAAACTCGTGGGCTAGGGTGATGGAAGAGAGATATAGTAGCATGCACGAGTTTTGACAGTTTATCTTTCTGTCCCCAGAAAGCATCCACAAGTTGAAAGAGAAAGCCAAGAAGAGGAAAGGCCGAGGCTTTGGCTCAGGTGAGTTGCTACTCACTGTTGTGAAACTGGTTCGTGAATTTAAGCTGAAATTTTTATGCATTTTGTTAGATCAGACAGCTGTGTTAAATATTTCTCTGCTCTTTCCAGAGGAAGGAGCCAGGTCCAGAATCAAAGAGGACTATGACACCGTGGAGCAGGATGGAGACGAACCAGGTCCTCAGAGATGTAAGTGCTGCTTTTCATATACTTCATATGAAAGTCAACAGAATAAGTGTAGACTGCACATTTGTCAACTAAAACACCTTTCCTGTTTATCTAAACGTTACATTTACTACCAAATCTTGACAGTATTCCAAATTTATCTGCTGATAAATAACAATCTAGATTAAGAATAAGTGTTCTATCTGCTGCATGTGTCCCCAGTTGTATTTTTGTTTTCTGTCCGAGTAGCTGCAAACTGTGCGTGTCGTTACACAGTCTGCCCATGAACCAAAATAAGATTGTGTGTCAGCTACATTGGTCTATACTGATGTTACTTTCTTTAACTTTATATTTTCATCTACAATAACAAGCACATACAGTAGCTATAATGAAAGAGCAGCTTGAGCAATGGGTCAAAAATGTTTCAGATCTCTCATGGCAGTTTAGATCTGTGACGTGGGTGTAAAGTTAATATACACAAACTTAGTATGCCATACTTGTTAGACCACTGTTTATTTGTACATTTCTTTTTATAGAGTGAGCTGTCACAATCATAACCATACTTAGTAATTTACTCAAATAGCCATCGGTGTGAGTTGGCACTGCAGATGGCTGCTTCAGTTCTGTACTGGAAACAAATTCCTTGTGTGTAAAATACTTGGCCAAATAAAGTGATTATCCTTAATTAAAACTCCTCTCTAGTTTATTGCTTGAGCCATGATGCTTTATCTTGTCTTTATGTGGTTACAGCTGTGGAAGGCTGGATCTTGTTTGTGACTGGTGTGCAGGAAGAGGCCACAGAGGAAGATGTGTATGACAAGTTTTCAGCGTATGGAGAAATTAAGAACCTGCATCTCAACCTTGACCGCAGAACAGGATACCTCAAGGTGAGATCACAGCTGTGTGCACAAAATTTGGCAGCACAACTGATTTGTTTGAACATTTTACTTCAATGGGTTCAGAGCCAGAACAGAAACAGAATGTCATCTAATGAGGCAAGTGTGTTTGTTTTCTAATCCTTTGGCTGGAACTACACTGGCAGAAGCTCTAGACATTATGTTGACTGAACCAGAAAATTGACCCGCTGGTTTGTGCTAATTGTTGCTTAAATGATAAAAATCTTTCCAAATGGAAAAATTTGTACTATATATCCTGTGACATTGTTTAAATTAAAAATAACAAATATTTGATTCGTTTTCATCCTGTCTTGTGAAAGGACTAACTTGTTACTATATGTGTACAAACCAAGACCCCTTCTCTATTCTCTGTGATAGCAGCCTTTGCTTTATTGACAAAGATATTAAAACCTTGGTACAGGCACTTGCGTATAACTAATAAAAACGTTGTATTCATCATATTTTAACTGGTCTTATTTTTAACCTGTAAGGAAAGACAATTAAAAATTTGCAAATATTGGCAGTGCTCAGAATTTAGTTGTTTATTCCACCCATGCATGTAATGTGTAAGTTCACAATGTTTTTGAAGCACCAAAGTTTAGTGTGTCCACTTTGCTGTGAGCCACTAGGTGGCAGCACTGTTTTGAGTTTGAAGAAAGCACAAAGCACTGTTGGCCTGCAACTTTGTCTGCAGTCATTTCAGCAAAGCTAGAGAGGGTCAGTTTTCATTACCGCATGTTGAAGATTTACAAGATGTAGTAATAGTCATGAGTCAGCTTGTTATCAAATTATTTAGCCAGCAGCCCAGTTCGTGTTGCATTGTAAAACACTACCAAATTCTAAACCAGTGTTGCCATAAATGTCCGGTGACTCAGTCAGATGTCCTAATGACTGTCCCCAGGGGTATGCATTGGTGGAGTATGAGACATACAAAGAGGCCCAGGCAGCCATGGAAGGGCTCAACGGGCAGGACTTGATGGGCCAGCCGATTAGCGTTGACTGGGGATTTGTCAGAGGCCCCCCCAAGAACAAAAGGAGGTGAGGGTGGTATATGTTTATCTGTGCATATTTCGCTGTGGTGGCAGTAACCTGCCAATAAAAGGATTGCTGTCAACATTTTGCCATATTGCACTTCATCAAACTGCGTGTTTGTAGAATTTCATCATGCAAGTGTGATATTTATTTTTTCCTCTATCTCTCACACCCATGTGTAATGTTGACTGTAGCTATTTAAGCTTTCTAGATTCATGTGAAAAGTGTTGTTGATATTTACCTTTTTAATCTGACATGTATTTTGTCACAGGACTGGCGGACGGAGACGCAGCAGAAGCCCTGACAGGAGGCGCCGTTGAGTTTGAAAGTTATCAGCCAGATGAGGTGTCTGTCACCTGACAGGCAGTCTGTTATAATGTTCTTATAGCGTAATCTCAGAATTTTTGTACATTTTTTTTTTTTTTTTAGTAACAGCTGTGTGGTATTTAGTTGTGATTTCAAACATTGTGATAAGAAATTTCTCAAACAGTGATGAACAAGAATTGACACCAGCATATGTGGTCTACTGCTTATGCTGAAGTACAGTACAACAGAAGGATATCCACTCAGCTCGGACTGTAAAATGTGATGCATTTTTACTTTCAATACCAGCTTTATGTGATAAATATTCATGGTTTCCTTATTCCATCAAAATGTTGCTCAGTGTTACGTGCATTTTATTGTCTGGGAGTGTTTTGTTCTGTATTACCTTGGGAAAATTAAACTTTATCAAAGGTAAATGTGTGCCCTGCTGTGTTTTATTTAGCACTGCTAATGACGTAGGGTTTACTTCATCCTAGATGACCTCACCCAGGCAATGGTGACACCCTAGCTAGATTGTGAACTCCTAAGCACCTGCCACTCTGGAGACAATGCTACACTCATAGGCTACTCTGACAAAAACCCCTGCCTTTTATTCTTCCGCAGCCAATTGGTAAACGAACCTTTTGTGCTCTGTTGCTCTCATTTGGTGTTTACTCTATTGGGGAGCACCCGTCAAATTCTCCAAGAATGTCTATTGGTTCTTAGGAATGTCAATAAGACGGACTCTGCTCTCTGAATGGGTGGCTCTACGTGGGGGGGTGGATCAATGCTGGTTGACGTTGTTGTTGCAAGTGGAGAAGAAATTACTTTGTCGCTGGTGGTCCGGTTGTGGATTTTACCCTTAGTTCCACTTCTGAAGATGGTAAAAAGTTAAGAATTGTTGGTCTTGGAAACGTTTCTGTTATTTACAAGTTGAACCTTGCTGGGAAACTAAATAGCACGATGAAAACGTCATCTGGGTGGCCTTTCAAGGTAAGCAGTAAAGGGATACTCTCTTAGCTAGGCGCTAGCATTAATGTTAGCTAACACTAGCTGATGATTAGCAAGGATTGAGGTAGCCACTTGCTAGCCAAGCGTTACGCTTCAGTCTATTTATTGAAAATAACCAACACTTCTTTGTAATGAGTATTCACACACGCATATATGTCACTTCTCCAAAGGCATGATTAAATTGTCAGTTACGTGGGAACAAAGTTGCTGGGCTGTGTGTAAACGGTGCACGAACCCCATGCGCCTCAACGCATTTAATGCGTTTATGTAAGCATGTGTTATTCGTTGATGTTGTGTTTCAAAGAATACTCGTAGCCATAATAGTTGCTGAGAGTCAACATTAGGACAAACCATCTTCAGTATCATTGAGTTGTATCGATTAGCCACGAAGAGCAGGTTTGCGAACAGAATTGGCTGCTGAACACTGAATTAGCTTTACAAGCTGTCGGCTATAGTTGTGCAGTTTAAACACTATTAATTTGAAGTCGTGTTGAATGTGCGATCAAATCTGCGTATTCCTTTTATTTGCTACCTTTTTGCCTTTGGAATTAAATTGTATTTTATCTATTGTCTTTCTAAGAGCTGGCAGTCACGATCCGGATTATCTGAGCCCGGTTTTTAAATTTAAGATGCGTGCATGAGGTAATGTTTACTTAAAGCACCAGTCTTAGAGTTCACTGTCAACACTGTCTTTAACTTCAAACCTAAATGACTCCAGTTTTCATTAAGTTACCGTTTACCGAGTAACCCGATGAAGTGAGTCAGTTCAGCAGCATTTCTTCCCAAACCTTGCTGCCTGATACAGTATGTGTGGCTCCTGCCTGAGCTGGCAAACCCATTGAGTTGAAACTAGGACTTTGGTTATTTGCCTTGTTTCCACCATCACGATGAGAAAGGGTTGCCTTACACTTTGCCTTAAATTATTCAGGTCTTGTAATCATGGGCTCTTTTGTTTGCTGGCACACCAATACAGACAGTCGACATGAAATATAGGACAGAGGTGCAAGCTCTGTGTTGCATTTGGCCCACAGGGGTGTGTTTATGTTGTAAATAGGAACCTCACTGTACAAAACTTAAGGACGTTTAAGAAGCTAGGTATTTGTGTAGTAGGAAAAGAAATGAATCCAGCCCTCCTTCCTGTACTTATTCAATCAAGTAACTGTGCAGGGTGATGCTTGAAATGTGGGACACCCAAGACACTGCCTGACAGTTGCAAAGAAGACTGTTGATCAGTAGCACTGTGTGGAAAGTCAGAACAGACTCCTAGTTTAATGCTACTAAATATGGCCTGTAGATTTGTCTAATCCACTCACTTAAGCAAGTAACCACTCGTATGTTCATGAATTATTGTATCTTTCAGGATGATGAATTTATTCAGTTGCCTGTCAATTTGGGACCCACCATGACAATGATCTGCGTACCCTGATGCACAGTGTCTGAGAGGGTGTGTGAGGTTGCACAGTCAGGCTTCAGTTTGCACATCCTCAGCACTACAAGGAACATACAGTGTGCATACAGCAGCACAGAGAGCACCTTGGGCAAGTATTTTGAGTGTAGCATCCGTCCCTCCTAGACTGGCAGGATGTTTAAGGAAAGTATTTGAAGCTGGTTTGTGAATGCTTGTCTGGCTCTATTAATCAGTGCACTAAACAGGCAGTAGATAAATTCATTCACAACCTACCTCCAACAGCACAGAACAAAGCAGAATAAGAATATTGTAAAATCATTCCTTGACTGTAGGATATAGATAAATTCATTCACAACCTACCTCCGGCAGCACAGAACGAAGCAGAATAAGAATATTGTAAAATCCTTCCTTGACTGTAGGATCCTGTAGGATAATTTTTCAAGATCAAGATCAAAATCAAAGATTTTTATTGTCAATTCACTATATGTGCAAGACATACAGAAAATCAAAATACCGTTTCTCTCTCACCTAGTATTGAATTCCATGCCATTTAGGAAACTAAAATAGAATAAAAGTAGAGTAAAAATAGACTAAAAAGAATAAGAAAACTAAGTCAAAGTGATTGGGATAAAACTAAATGGTACAACCTAATGGGCTATGACTCAAACCATGTACAATCAGTGACAGTAGTGCAAATAAAAACATTGACGAGATTGTCAGATGATTGTGAGATTGAGATGCAGATGACTGTGATCCAGATGAAAATGTGTGGTTTGTTGTTTGCATTATACAAAGATGTCTAACAGTATTCAAATGGGCTGCAGTGAGCATTTCAGAGTAGCCAAATGGAGAATAGTAAGGTATCACCACTGTTATTGTAAATGATCAGTAATATGTAGATACTTTCTGCCTGTGGAAAGGGTTTGTCATAGAACTGCAATCTTAAAGTTGCAAGGCCTGGTGGCAAAGCTGTTATTAGTGCACTGTTTTTCTGTGACACATGACTGCACAAAGGTAGAGCAGCTGTAAACTACTATGAATCTCAGTTTATAGTTTTACAAAGTTGTCAGTTTAACTTGTTTATCTTAGTTGTGGGAAACATGTTTGGTCTGGAGCATTATTTCTTTCAAAGGGTTTGTGTTACTGTCTTAACTCTTTTATCATATCCTTCTTTAAAAGTATCGTATTGATTTTTTGCCGGATGGCTGTGGCAGATTGACTGCCTTGGTGAATATAATGTTTCACAGGGTAAACATGCTGCTTTAGCAATGCAGAGGGCATGAAATTTTAAATTTGTCTGTTGCTGAGTCCAAACAGCTGCTCACAAAGTGTGTGTGTGTGTGTGTGTGTGTGTGTCTCAGGGATCCAGTGTCAGTTTCAGAGCCAAGCCCATTTCACTGTGGAAGTGTTCCCATAGGATCTCTCAAACACAGTCAGATTAATAAGTAAGTAGACGCATGCTTCTTTAGGTTAGTAGGACAAACACATGACTCTACTCTGTCACGTGTACATGTTACCCTCAATTATGCTGGGTATTCCCTCAGTCTAGAATATTCAGTAAAGCCAGAGCAAAGTGTAGCATTTACTTCTTTTAAGACACTTTATCATCATGAGCAAAATTGACATAAAAATGCTCATCAATATAGTGACAGATATATGTTCTTATGTTCAAGCAGCACTGTTCCTCTAGACAAGAACAGATGTGATAAGAAAGACAAAACTACCTTCGTCCCCACACTGCCAGAGTGAGAGGGGGGTCAATAGGTGGCTTGTGTCTGAGAGGCCTCTGTGTCCAGACAGCAATGCATAAAACTCTTTGGAGCTCCACCCTTCCCAGCATGGGTGGTTGCCTGCCACTCTTGTGACACAACTAGCCAGTGCACAGGACTGTTTGTGTCAGGGTGGAGAGACCTCGAACTGAGGCATCTACCTGGGTATCAGTAGCTGCTCTACTGTGAACAGCACTGTGTGGATAGTAGTATGCTTTGGGAGTATATTTAGATAATTCACACAGTTGTTACACAACAGCAGTGACCTTAAAGTTGAGTGGAAGAGTTCTAACTGAGCAGCCATCATCCATCTAGAATGAGACATGACTCCCAACAAGAGAAGCTACGGTTATGAGAATGCCCTGTATCAGTTACTTTATGTTTTCCACCTCTGCATACTGTACAGTACAGGGTGGGGAATTAATAAACATTTTGTTATGTAACTGTTGAGACAGCATCTTTCCTTAATCCATTAATATTTAAATTTTAAAGTAAATAAATTTCCATGTCAAGCTACAAAGGTGGATCCAAAAAGCAGTATTTTGCATTGTGTTTGTGTCGCAGCCTTTTTGCTGCTCTTTGTCTGTTTTGGTGAATGCTGTCACCAGTGTGAAGACAGTTTCTCTTATCCTGAAATTATTTTGTTGTTTTTAATCTATTCACCTGCAATAGGGATGGATTTGCTCAAAAATAACATCAAGATATTGCATAGATTTGAGATGGCATATATGATGATAGTGTTGTACTTTCCTCACATGACGTCTTGCTCTTTTGTACAAAATTTTGTGAAATATAGGAAAATACATTTGTTATATTGCTATTATCCTACATACTACAATGATCTGTTGTAGACTTTCACACTCCTGAGTCACTGTCGTTTTTGCTAGTATTGTTGCTTTTGCTTTCAGCATTTCATGTTGCTGCTGTATCTTCTCCTAAAGTAAATCAACAATTTGCAGTATCAACAGTAAATCAAACCAAACGGTACTGGAGAACTGGAAAATATTTACATTTTAAGGGGTAATGTGTACTTCAAAGTACTATAGCAGGTGAATAATGAGATTTAGATTCAGTTGGTCTGTGCAGACTAGAAGACATCAGTCCCCCTCACCCTGTTGATCCAGGAGTAATCCCACACACTGCCCTAGTGAGGAGCCTGTCACCCAGGATGGCATCACTCAGGGAGTAATGTGAAGTAGCCCTGCTGTGTATAGGGCCTGGCCTGCAGCATGTGGGGATTCACATTAGTGCTGCCCACCTGCAAAGGCTGGTGCTTGTGCAACCACTGACTTTAGCTTTAGCCAAGCATGGTTGGCTTCACATTCAGGAGGAGTTAACATTAGAGGCGATTGTAAAGGTTTGAGTGAGTCCCATCTTGTAATGTAGTAGCTGCAAGTCACACACACATCCATTTTATTTCTATTATTATAACCTTTCTGAAGTTTTGTTCTCATTAGCAGTCTTGCTTTGTTTTGCAGGTGTTAGAAGTTAAAAATGTTTTGTATTCCTCAAGGAGTGAATTTGTAAATTAAAACAGATGACATCTTGCTTCCCCTCTAAATATGAATTATGTAATATTAATAAGCACGTCGGTTGTGCACTAAGTAACAGGTATATTTTGAGTAGTGAGAGATGGTGTTTGGCAGCTTTGGATCTTAAGTGTCATATTTTGTGAGGATGCTTATTCTGGTGTTTTGTTTATTTAAAAAAACTTTGAGGACATATATGCATTGTTCATCAACTGCATGAAACCTAAATCGACATCTTGTGGTTTTGGAACTTGTCGTCTGTTGTCCTCCACCACAAACCACTAAAGTGCCTGGATTTAATGTGTTAGTATACATTTTGATGTGTGGGGCTAGTGGAATCCTGTTAGCACGTTGCTCTTTTTAAAAAAAATCATATTTAGATTTTAATCATCTTAATAATTACTGTAGAGTCCTACATATTTTGTAATTCACTGCTGAGTTCCCTCAGTCTTTGCTAATAGCTAGGTGGGCAGTGTTCAGATGGATGCAGAGGCTTGCGTTTCTTAGCAAAGGCTTAAAATCGATAAAGAGGTCATCAGTGTCGAATGAGGACTTCTCACCCACAGAGTCTGGAGTTTACTGTAGGTTGGCAGTTTTGCAGAATGCTGCAACCAACGCATTATCACCATGTGAAGCAGTTTATCCATCTACTGGTGCTGCTGTCTTTCAACACCTTTCTGTCAACTCTTATGAATTTCATTTTGTGCACATCACAGAAACAGAAATGCACTGATGGCATATTAGCTTCCACCTCCCTTGCTCACATTGAGGATCAAATTTCTACATTATATTACATTTGCTGCTATTTCAGGTGTCCACTGTGCTGACAGTGTGCACAATGTAATGTTGTCTCTATGTGGAATGTGGGAATGCCACTCATACTCCCCTGTAGCCTTCTTCATAGCTGCCTGCTTCAGGTGTGTTAATTAGCACTCTGTGACTGGTGATTACTGGGCCTGACTGCAGTGACATGCCCTGGGTACAGACTGGCAGCCTCTGAGGCCAGCTTTAATAGGCTGTCTAATAAACCCTCTCAGCAGACAGAAAAGGATAAAGTAAGTACAAGACTTATAGCTACGGGTGGATGACATGGACAAACGCCCAGTCAGGTTAATTATCACAGAGCTGTACCTAAACATTACAATGCTATATATATTCAAACATCACATGATAACATTTTTAAGGTTGTAGCTTACAGTTTCATTAGCAAATTATAATTATTTTCTCACTGACAAACGCTGTGACTTCAGCTGATGACAGGACAAAATTAAACTCGCTGTTGTCGGGTTTGTGACCCCGCTGCAGCCAGGGAATAAACAAACAACATGCTGTCTGCTGTTAGCTGAAGATTGTTTATGAGGTAAAGAGGCATCGCTCTGTAACACCACGAAATAATCAGAGTAAACAGAGGGAGACGTCTTCACTGGAAAAACTGCCAGCTGATCTCAATCTGCGTACAATGGGAATGTAGCATATTCTGCAGGATGGCGTACATGTATGGTAATGAAGATCTGTCATCTTTGACATTATATTACATAAGAACAAATCCTTCACCTTCCTTAGCATTTTGTCTCTACTGCCAGATGGGCAAAGGTGTACTTGTAGTCCCCCCCCATGCCTATGCCATCATCCATCACGATGTTTTATTGTGGACATCGTCCATCTGTAGTTACCACTCATTTAGTTTAGCTCGTTACAGCTGGATCAGTAAGACCGTAGACCAGAAATCACCAGCTGCTCTCACACAAGACTCATCCTGTTAAAGAGGATTTTTAAATGTGATGTCTGCTCATGGGATCAAGTTTTGTTCTGCTATTCAATTCTGAGCTTTCTGTCCACCCAAGTGTGAGTTTGTTGCTCCAGCATGCTGTGCTGTGCACTATTTTAGGGAACACTGGACTAAGTGAATTCATAGACCTCTGCTTCATACACTGCTTCACCATGACATCAGCTCCCAGACTCTTTGATAAACACTTGTGCTCAAAACTTAATGCTGCCCAGCTCAGTTGGCCTGCCTTGGCTGTTATTACTTGAATATCAGCAAGAGCCCACTTTAGGCTGGAGGAAGCCACTATGAAACACTTTAATGTCCACCACTGACTAGGAGATGTTTTGTCTGAAGCCACATCCTCTTTCCTTTCACTTTAGTCTGTAAAACAGTGCCTGTCCAAACTCTACGTGCTGCATTGTGTTCGGATCAACCTGGCGACCAGAGGCTTAGCGCAGTGTACAAGAACAGCATGACCTTATTCCTTCATTGTTAATGAAAATTGGGCCTAAATGGGTGGGTTTCAAGATTGATCAGAGGAGATATCACTGATGTGAATGTCTGTACTTGAGTCATTAGGCGTTTGCTAGGGCGTTTAGGAGTTGAAATGTTAGTTATCGACTGTTTTGAACTCTGCATAGTGCACACTTTCTATGTTTAAACTGATTATGAGCAGATTATTTTTAGACTATCTGAAAGAGGAGGTTGCTCTAATTCTGGCAATTTAGAGATTAGGTGGTGAGTCTGTGTATACACTGGTGCTGTAGCTGTGCCTACCTGGATGTTGCTCTGGTTCAGATGCAATGGTGTCTAGTTGACATTCAGGGACAGTGCCCTTATAAATAATGCTAATCCTAGACCTAAACCACTCTATGAATTTCTTATTCCTTGTTTTGCATTGTTTATATAAACAGTTTTTAAGATTGGATTAACTTTATTGGGTTTCTGTGCAGTCTTAAAGTTCAAAGCTAATGCAAGAGGTTAGAACATGTTTTGGCCCTTTACACACTCCAAACAATAAAACTGAGGTCATATTCAGGATGTGCAAGTAGATCTTGTTTTCTTCACCTTATTCTGCCTTGAGCTCTCATGGAGCAAAAAGCTGGTTGCTGAGCTCACATGGATCAGGTTTGGATGTTTCTGAGCCAGCAAGCAGGGCAGGAGAGGCTGTGATAGGGAGGTTAGAGTTGGCACATTTTTGCGTGATGACTGGACAGGTTTTGAGCTGGACTAGATCCAATGACATGGCCTCTGGGGGTACAGGCGTGACTCTTTGACATCAGCTGTGTCTGCATTAAGACTGGTGTTGTCCTTGCACACAAGACGCTCGCATTCAGTGGTCGAGCCGTCGTCAGGTCAGGAATGTGCATGCTACACAT